CCCTCAGTGCTCACAAACACTACAAAAAAGCAATGTTGGGTAATGCATCCAGCATATGAAATAGTTTTAAATTGTGCTAAATTCATCAAGAGCCTTGGTGCAAAGATGGAAGAGTAGCAGAGATCAACTACAGACAGATTGCCGAGGAAGAAGTACATTGGGGTATGAAGCTGGGGACTGATTCTGATCAGTACAACCATCCCCATGTTCCCAACCAATGTCAGAAAATAGATCAGGAGAAATATCATGAAGAGGGGGACCTCAAATGCCAGCTGGTCTGTTAGCCCAAGAAGGATGAATTCAGTTACTGTAGTGTAATTGTTCATGATCATTTAGTGGTGGTCACGTGACACTGCACCTGGTAAGCAAAAGAAAGGCTGTAGTTCATTATGCTTGTCAAAGTAGACCTGGCATCACTTAATTAAAGTGAATTGAATTGGCATCCAAGCAGAAAAATTGATTTTTCAAGTCAGATACAGAATTTCTGGAAGCTCCTGTGTGTGAGAAGTATTTTTTGCTTGAATATGTGTGAAAACTGCTTGGTGCAGAGAGAAGACAGCTTATGCAAAGGATCTTACTTTTTCCTTTCTCCTCCCTGTAACTCCCACCCCTCAAAAAGCCTTTCTAGATATTCAGAAGAGCCAAATATTGCTGATATTTCCTGCAGTAGGAAAGAGAAATGAACCAAAACTATGTAGAATAATTTTGCATTACTTCCTGTACTGGCTCTCTGCCCCTTGTCCCCACTGCTCCCTTGAAAAAACACACAACTCACAATGTTCAGAAGGCCCTTCTGAACCATCTGAGGAGGTTTTTCAAGAAATACGGAGAGCTGGAAGGGAGAGGAGACAGAGAAAAATGCATTGCATGAGTTGCCCTGTGGTCAAATAGCATATGATACCACTTGGGTAGTTTCCCTAAAGACATTTGCAATTTTTCTAAAGAATTGTGCCCATCCCTGCATGGTTTTTGTGGGAAAAAAATGAAAACTGCCTGAAGCTTTAACTGCAGTTGCTTTTAACATTATAGCTACATCAAGCTAAGGCAGAGCGCAAATCACTAATGATTACCTGGATCCTTTGAGTGCTGTGCACCCTCAGTGGTGGTGAAGGTGTGAGTTTCCTCAGCTTCTTCTGGAGATGTGTCCTTCATTGTAGATTTATCAGATGCATTGTTTTGAGTGTTTTTTCCTCCTGATTAACATATTAACATACATTGTTATATGTTAGGAATTAATTAAATTATATCAATCATTCCAATCATTCCAAAGGAATTAGATCTCCCCAAATCCTAAATAAACTCTGCCTGGAAATCCTAAATCATTTCTGTTTGTGGGCTTGAATCACATAGCCTACTTTGCTGCTGTGTGAGTCAAAGACTGTTCTGGGATTCAAGTGAAAATATACGAGCTAAGAAAGCAAATCAAAATGCTCAGAGCATTTGTTCATCCTTAGGTTTTACTGATGCTCCTGCACAGAAATAGAACTGCATGTACTATTCATACACCAGGTGGACTCCTTTATGTAGGGACCATGCCTCCTAGATAGAATGTCAGAGCCTTGAATGTTAACTAAAGCAAAGTTGATTAATCTTCTTAGGCACTTCCAGAAGGATCACAATTAGCAGAAGCAATGCCTATAGAAAAGGAGCTCATTACTGAAGGTGGGCAAACAACAAACATTGTCTCTATTCTTAGATAGAGTGAGGCTGCAAATCTGGAGGTCAGAGATTGCAGAAGAAGATGGATTTAGTGGATGCCTTGTGGCTATCTCAATCTTCTGCCTAAATTTCCTCATGTTAAATGTAATTATAGCCCATTGCAGAAAGAGATCTAGACTGTGCAGTATTTGTATTCCAAAACTGGTAGGGACAAGAACAGCATTCTTTCTCCTTTCTAAATGTTCCTCTTCCCTTTTTCTAGAGTAGACATGTCACATTTCTACTGGGCAGAAATACAGGTTATGAGAGAAATACACAGTGCTCAACCACTGCCCCCATTATTAAGGCTGGAGATATATTTGGTCTTCTTTTTTCTTCTAAACTGGGCTCCAAGTTTAATCCATGTTGGAAAGAGGAATGCTTAAAGAACATTTGAAGGATATACCAGGTACAGAACAGTTAAGAATCCTTTCTGTCTGCTAATTTAGTTCTAAACATCATTCCTGATGCATGATTATAAATCACTTTGAAAGAACTTAACTATTAAAAATGGGAAAAAAAATAGCAACCTTTGCAAATGTAACTTTGGGCATTTGCATCAGCTAAAATGACGTACATTTCAGCCTTTAGATGCTATTTCCTGTCATGCAAACAATATTTTTAATTGAAAAATCCTAGCAGCTTTGTTGGATTTTTCAATTTCTGCTCTGAATCAGAGGCATCTGATTCATCCTTATAGACTCTCATGCTGAAAACATTCAGTTACTTTTTCTCTATATTCTTGTATTTCACAGCACCGTAAACAATGTAGAGGCCACCTAGAAATAATTTCTTTACGGACACTATCCCAAATGAATGGAAGAAGCCAATCTACCATGACCATTCACCCAGAGTGACTGCATCACTTCTCAGGAAGGGTTTATACAAGAGTGATGAGTTGGTCACAGACTTGATTTATGAGAGAACAATATTTATTCCTTTAAGTGATCTGAAACAATAGCATCCCTGAAGTAACTTCATCTTCAAAGTCTCAAGGGAAATAACTTCAGGCTATCTTCCTGGGAGCTTTAATGCTGTACTGCTTTTAAAATTATTCACAACTGAATTGATGCTTAGTTTTCCTGTTTAACAGAAAAACAAACCAACACAATTTTCTAATATCTCATTACTTTAAATTTTGTCCAATTCTAGGGACATTTTATGCCAGACCAATGAAGAAAAATACCACCACTGTTCCAAAACCTGGTATTGTAGTATTATTTCTATACACATGGATTGCTAGTGTGTTTGTGTGTGAGAGACATTGAGTAATATAAAGGAAAACATTTTATGGAATTTGTGCATGAAATAGATTGTAGTTCACTTGGATTTTGCGCAATCTAGATAAAAGTTGGGTCTATGCAGATCCTCAGAGATCTCCAGGATTTTACTGGAGTTCCATCTGAAGCCATCATTAAATCAAAGGTCACACCTATCTGTAAGCCATTACAATGACAAAACTAATTTTTTGGCATTACTGAAAGTGCAAAAACACAAATTAAAGGTATGAATTCTCATATATCTTCACTATTTTTACATGGAACTCAGCTGAAGCTACCATCAAAACAAATATGACATTCATCTGCTTGGAATGATCCACAGTCATCCCATAACCAGTAGGACAGGACTGTGTGAAGTGGATTCAGAGGCAGAAGGATGCTGCAGAACCCTTGGATCACATATCACCTCCTTAAATCAAATTCAATGTTTTGCTCTGTGAGCTCAGGAAAAGGCATACTTTCTTTAAGGAGTTGCCAACAGATGTGATGTGAGTGCACCCATTTCCCCCTTGGAATCTGGATTGCTAAATAACCCTAACATTCAATAATGTTTCAAGGAATCCTCTAAAAACCCTGTAAGAATGCATTAAACTTGGCTTGGACCTACCTTTTAAATTCTTCTGATGTAATATTCTTTTGACTCTGAATGAACTGTATGTCATAACTTGATAAATGTCTAGCTGTCATTAAAGAGTTCAAATGCACAAACAGAAAGAGAACTCCAAACAAACATTGATCGCATTCTGCCAGACAAAGAATTTCTAAAAAATGAGTTATATATTGGCAGTTTTCTTTTACGTGTTACATACAAGAAGACACTAATTCTGTCTAGAGTGGAAAACTGAATGACATGGAGAACAGTGGAGAATCAAATACAAATGCTCTTGGTAACTTTTTTTTCTGCATTAAGTCACCCCAAGCTTTTGTTTCTCTAGAACAAATTTGCAGAAGTTTAAAAGAGAAAGGCAAGATCTCAGGTTCTGCTGACCTGTGGGAGCTCTCCTGATAACTTTTGCTTTTGAGCATAAACCAGAAAAATGTTCAAGGCCTTGTATCATAGAGTTACCATGTGAAATGCAAGATCCCACAAAGCAGCTCAGTGAAGACAGTAAGTAAGTAGGCCATCAGGTTTGTCTAATGGAAGAGCTGCAGATTTAATAACAGTCCTCCAATCCAAGTTAGCAGACAGTCTAGATGACTGAAGACTACAGCACATGAGAGACCAGGATAAGATTGTATAGTGGTGAGGGGAAGAAGATGGTCAGCGATACTGAGGAACGTATTTTTCTGTAATTTCTCAGTTTATTTATATATGGCTTTATTTAATGAGTTACATGCTGTCTATCATGAAAAGGCGATTGTGTGGCATGTGCTTAATTACAATGCAAACACTTTGTTTTCAAAGAGAACACTTTCTCCCATGGAAAAGCATGTAGAGATGAAAACACCCTTCTCATACTGTAATTGGATCCAGATCTTCATAATGCATTACTAAGGACTACTGATCCCCACTATCAGTAGCTTCTGTGTGGGTGGGGTGGGGTGGGGTGGGGAAATGAAGGTGGCATATTGGGAACTTTTAAAAGAGATAAGGTAAACTCCTAGACTGTGTGTGTGTGTTTGATTGGGAGGAGGGCAGAAGGAAAACTAAATAAGTTTTAAAATTATTGGGTGGCCATGAAGTAGTTTCCCATCTCCCTTAAGTTACTTCTTTAAGCAAAACCAAGGACCAGGGAAGAGTATTTACCAATCCTGATGTTTGCTGAAGCACACTTTGCACATTAGGCCCAGAAGTTCCTTTAGAAAAGATACTGTATCAAATTTACATCACTTGCTGTGTCCTTTATTCATTAGATGATCAACTTTAAGGTGTATTTAGCAGGATGGAGAAATTGCCAGGATTCTATTAATAATCAACAGACCAGTATGCATTATAGAAATTCTTTGTTAAAACTGCATATTTTTTTTCCTGAAATCTGGGCATTTTTGTTCATTTACTCTGAACAAAATGACAAGAGATATTTAATGGGAGCCCAGTTCTCTTCCAAATACTTTTTTCACAGCACATTTTACATCTTTATTCCTCAGGCTGTAGATCAAAGGATTCAACAGGGGTATTATTACTGTGTAAAACAGAGATGCCATTTTGTCAGTGTCAAGGGAATAGCTAGAACTGGGCCGGAAGTACATGAAGAGAATAGTTCCATGAAATATGGCCACTGCTGTGAGGTGGGATGCACACGTGGAAAATGCTTTATACCTCCCTTCAGTGGAGCGAATTCTTAGGACCGCAGTGATAATGAATATATAAGAGGTAACAATGATTAGCAAGGTGCTCATTTCAAACAGGCTGCCAAAAATGAATATCAGCATTTCGTTCATAGAGACGTCACTGCAAGCCAGTTTCAGAAGGGGGGTGAGATCACAAAAAAAGTGATTGATGCCTTTGGAGCCACAAAAGGACAACCTCAACAAACCACTCGTGTGAATCATAGAATTCACAATTCCCCATAGATACGATCCAGCTATCAATCCTTTACAGAGCCTCTTAGTCATCACTGAAGTGTAGAGCAAAGGGTTACAGATGGCCACATAGCGATCATACGCCATTGCAGCCAACAGGAAAAATTCAGTTGTGGCAAATATGGCAAAGAAACAATACTGTGCAATGCAGGAAGCATAAGATATGGTTTTCTTGTCCACTAAAAAGGTCACCAGCATTGTGGGTGTGATGGTGGTGGAATAACAGGCATCTAAAAAGGACAGGCTGCTAATAAACCCGTACATGGGGGTATGCAGCTGGGGAACAGTCCAAATTAATAAAATCATCCCAAGATTCCCCAGCAGAGTGGCAATATAGATGATTAAAAATGTTGCAAAGAGCAGTGGCTGCATTTCCAGGTGTTCTGTGAGTCCAAAAAGAATGAAGTTGGTCACCAAAGTGTAATTTATTCCAGACTTTGCTTTCATTCCCTCTTCCCTGTGGGGAAAAACAACAACAAAAATATTAAAAAAAAAATACAGATTATGAAACTCTGAGCAGATAGCTTCAATTTTCCCTTTTCCCTAAATATAGGACTTGTGGATGAGAGAGAGTTTAATTGATGGATTTGGGTGAGAAAGGGACATTGTGCTACTCCTATATTTATCTCTTTGCTATACCCTTATTCTGCTTGCAAGAAAAGGGATATTGTATTTTTAAAGAGAACATGTTTGAGAGAACATTTTCATTTCTACTCTGCCAACAAGAGTCAAGAGGACAATAGACTTATTTTAATCTTAGGATTATTATGCCTGTTACATATACACTGAAAGTTTTAAAAAAAAATTCTATTTTTGATTTCCCATTAAATAGATTTATTGAAGTATAATGTATTTTTACTGATAATGGGACTGTGTTAGAACTGCAATCTTTTGTTTCAGAAGTTAAAATGATCACACAGGGATTTTTGAATATATTATAAATATACTGTAGGTCTTCATACAGCTGGATTGACTAACAGGGCTGAATGTGTGATGTACAGTATTTTTGTTATTGGAGATAAAAATTCTCTGGATTGCAAAAACAACATCCATGAAGTTCCTCCAGTACACATGATGAAGCCAATTCTGTTTCATATGGCCTTCAACAATTGCCTTCACACCTAACTCTGCAGAAGAATAACAGTTTGCTCAAATCTATGGGGTGATTCCAGTAGTAATGTATGGCTA